CGTGAATCAATTCATATATGGTAAACCCTATGGGGCTAGAAAAGCAACCGCTTGTATTTCCTATAATAAAATATTGACTTTGACAAAACTGACAAAAAAATTGCGGATACACTAACTATTACTGGTAGAGCCGGGACGTGCAGTCAACTCTCACAGTCATCTACCGAGTCCCATCAAACCCTCCGCGAGCAATAAATTCTCGAACGTTAGCAGACACGAAGTTGATGTGCATCCGTTTCGTGAAACCTGAATTGTAAACACACATACCAATGTTGGTTTAATTGCTCAAACTCACCCGATCGAGGTCAGACAAAATCACTCAGCATTAGGATGATAGACTCACAATTAGTTTTGATTACGTAAAACAAGCATCGCACCCAACAGGAGTACGACCAATTTAAATTCACGAAAATCAGTCCATATCTCATTATTTGACTCTATGGATCATAGTGTGCGCTTGAGACTGAATTCATCTGCAACATCCGTTCACCTGCACCGTGTATTCTGATTAAGCCACTGGGCATGTCCCAGAATTTCAATAATATTTTAATAATTTTTTCCCGCCTTTATAATTTAATATTCACCATCTGAGATGTTTTCTGCCTTTCCTTTATTTGCAATTATATTCAGCTCCATGTGTTTCCCACGATACGTTTATTACCTAATTCCATGTTATTCTGAATCGTTGGGGGTTACTTCCTGAGCTTTTTTCATTATGTTCGAATCCGCCTGTGTTTTTCAAGTCAAAAATCGCTTTGTTCATCCCGATGGATAGATTCTCAGCTACTTGCACTTGAGGAGCAATTATCATCGCAAAAAAGTAAAAAAACAGCATCGTAAATTCAACTGAAAGTGGAATCATTTCTGTGGTTTCCTGTCTGTCTGTCTGTCTGTCTGTCTGTCTTGATTGTCTGACCGCAATCATAAAACCGTAATTTTGTGTCTCTCCATTAAACGGTTTTTCTGCCACGTTTCCCATGTCGAGGCATGCACTCACGCTTGTTTAATCGGTTTAGTCACCGTAAAATGATTCCTTACGGGGGAGTTGGTTCTCTCCTTCTACCCTCACTTGCATTATTTGTGAATGTGAGTGCAATCAATGTATATTCTGCTCTGGCTTTATTATACTGACAAAAGAAAGTTACAAAATATCATTAAAACCCTGAAGGTTGTTTTCATTCCCTTTGATTTAGGCCATCAATATCTGTTCACACTATCCCCAAAGAGAGCTACACCCCTACAATGAAACCATCTATCAGTGAGGGCGCAACTAATCTGCTTCAGTCGTACACCGCACAATCCAACGAAGAAATGGCCAGACAGACACTTTATCAGCAAATGGCACAGCAGGTATGGGTCACACAGGAACGATCCCGAACACCGAGTTTTGCTCAACCGATAGGGCCATTCTTGGGGGGTCAAGGTCCGGCAATGTATGAACCATTGCAAGCAGCTCCAAATGTTCCGTACATTCAACTCGTGCGTGGAATCACTGGCCCCATATCTTTGGTTGCACAAACCCATCGTGGCGCGGGTCTGTCTCGTGCGGCATACGCACGTCTTTATCGTGCCGGTAAGTGAAAATGTTTGAAAGGTAACTGAGAAGCATTTTAAAATCATATATATATATATATATTGCTGGATACAATATCGGTGGGAATAGAGGAGGATGGTACAATGAATTGGCAATCTGCATAAGACTGCCGCTTTTTTAAATGAACACATGTTCACGTCTTCTCCTTCTTCTGTAGGCTTCTCTCAGGTTTTGACCGAAAGCGGCAATCCACCTTTCACAATAAACCCAGAAGACGTATTGGACCCGATGCAATCGTTCAGTCTGAAAACCGAGGCCACGGACACTTTAAGTGTAAACGAAATTGTTCTACAATTTTTGGCCTATTCAAGGTTAGCTGACGTTGGACAAACGTTTTTATATTTTGATTTTTTTCATTTTTTTGTACAGTAGCAATTTAATTAATCACCGTCAATCATTATTTGTAGAAGTTCATCCACGTGTTGTTGTTGTTGTTGTGGTAGTGGTGGTGGTGGTACGGATCAAATAACAGACCCTAAGACCCGGAGGACACCGGTGATCCGATTAATAGCTTTTTTATTTCAAAATATATCATAGCACACAACAACACCCTTTCAAATCGGGGACAGAAGAGCTGAGGCGTACAACGATGCTAATGATGCACGCAGTATAATTTGACGCTTCATCGATCGTTTATAATTGGAAAACACCGATCTGTTATGTTACATTGTATTATTTACTTGTATGATATGGAAATTTTATTGTTTGTCTCATTTCTTGCAGCTATGTCACACCCGCCACAGAATCGTTTGCTACGAACGCAGTGTATTTCACATTCCAGTTCTATCGCTTCCCTCAATTTGTCACGCAAAAGTAAGTTGACAGAATTGTTGTAACAAGTGAGAGTTCGGAGACTGATGCAATTTATAATTCCATGTAATTAATTCTAATTGATTACTAAAACAATTAATCAGGATTAACAAAGGTTCAATGTGATAGTGTGAGATACTTGGCATGTG